ACTTTTGCCTTTTTGCCACCACTATATATTCGGTGCAGCAGCGTGGCAAGGTCACTAAGCATCTATAAGCATATGCAATACTTGTGCAGAGCTCCCAAGACCAAGCGACAACCAAAATAGAAAACAGATACGTCCAGGCGGTCGCAGTAGTACGCATCAACAGCAGCTGTTCAGGATGGTGTTAGTGAGTCAAAACAGCATGTATATGGGCAATAGACGTTGCGTTTCCGTGTAGTGCTAGATAAACAGCAATGGCAGAAGGAGAACAGGGTGTGCGGCAACAGATTAGCTTGCAACTTGGTTTCGCACAGCCTATGTCTAGTTCCGCACTCGAAGAATCAAAGGATCTGATTTGATGTAAAATTGCGCAAGGCGGTGGGCACTGCATTTATTGCGCGGGCAGATGTGGATGTACAGGCACAGCAAACGCTTGCTGCGCGGGTGGATGATGTGATGTGCGTGTGCTGATATGACTCCGTCCGCGTCCCAGCGATCTCCTGAGCACTTGTTAGGTGCTGGACCCCGCATTCGACCGATCGTTAGCGTAGCAGCCGAGGTAGCAGTGAGCGCATAGTATCAGCGTGACCCATGAGCCTGATCTTTGGAGCTTCATGGCTGATAGGAAGCGGACTTGACGGGGTAGCGAGTGTGCGTGTCCGGTCGTTGTTGTGTCGGTGATAGGATGGTGTTGTTTCGTGTGTTGGTACAGGATGTATTTTATTTTGTGTTCTGTTTTTGGCGTGTGTGCGTTAGTGACGTGGCAGCTGCGTTTTGTGGCAAGCTGGTAGTTTGAGTTTGTAGAAGTTGGTGATTTGAGTTTGTGGAAGCTGGTGGTTTGAGTTTGTGGAAGTTGTTGGTTTGAGTTTGTGTACGATGTAAGTGTGAATAGGAAGAGTTACGCCTGTGTGGCTCAGTGGTAGAGCATCTGTCTTGTAAACAGAAGGTCCCCGGTTCAATCCCGGGCGGAGGCATGCCTTTTCCACGCTGCTTCTGAACCCGTCTGTCTCGAGACCAGCACACGCGACTACAGTGCTTGTTGCTACTGTTTCGTGTGTTGTGCACCAGCGCGGGTCAACGGCCCTTGTTGCTAGTCTCGCCTTCTTTTTTGTTCAACTCGCTTGCTCGCGTATGCTATATCAACGAATTCCATCCACCGTCCTCAGCTCACACACACCGATGAGAAGCATAACACTCGACGAAAGGGAGATAATATACTTTTGCCTTTTTGCCACCACTATATATTCGGTGCAGCAGCGTGGCAAGGTCACTAAGCATCTATAAGCATATGCAATACTTGTGCAGAGCTCCCAAGACCAAGCGACAACCAAAATAGAAAACAGATACGTCCAGTCGGTCGCAGTAGTACGCATCAACAGCAGCTGTTCAGGATGGTGTTAGTGAGTCAAAACAGCATGTATATGGGCAATAGACGTTGCGTTTCCGTGTAGTGCTAGATAAACAGCAATGACAGAAGGAGAACAGGGTGTGCGGCAACACATCAGCTTGCAACTTGGTTTCGCACAGCCTATGTCTAGTTCCGCACTCGACGAACCAAAGGATCTGATTTAATGTAAAATTGCGCAAGGCGGTGGGCACTGCATTTATTGCGCGGGCAGATGTGGATGTACAGGCACAGCAAACGCTTGCTGCGCGGGTGGATGATGTGATGTGCGTGTGTTGATATGACTCCGTCCGCGTCCCAGCGATCTCCTGAGCACTTGTTAGGTGCTGGACCCCGCATTCGACCGATCGTTAGCGTAGCAGCCGAGGTAGCAGTGAGCGCATAGTATCAGCGTGACCCATGAGCCTGATCTTTGGAGCTTCATGGCTGATAGGAAGCGGACTTGACGGGGTAGCGAGTGTGCGTGTCCGGTCGTTGTTGTGTCGGTGATAGGATGGTGTTGTTTCGTGTGTTGGTACAGGATGTATTTTATTTTGTGTTCTGTTTTTGGCGTGTGTGCGTTAGTGACGTGGCAGCTGCGTTTTGTGGCAAGCTGGTAGTTTGAGTTTGTGGATAGTTTGAGGATGTAACGGGGTACGTAATTTCAAGTGTACCCCTAAGTTACATGAAGTGTGACACGTCACACTATGGGATATCTGGTACATGGTACCAGGGTCGTCAGAGGCCAACCATTGGCTGATGACATAGCTTTGCGCTAGGTGATATATAGTTTGTGTATTTAACTCAAGCTTAGCCTACCTATAAATACATACAGTATGCAGCTTACCTTAAATTGGTCACTTCGGTCCCTTAGACAAAAGGGACCTGCGATTCACAGTTCACAATGTGAACTACTGCTCACTGAGAGTTTGTAAACTCACGGAAGCCAACTTCTTTCACTGACGCAACTCAAAAACAACCCATGCAAAAATAGTTTTGGCCAATCAGCATCGAATATCACATCTAAAAAGCAATGGCCAGCCTGGACGCAATTTCTGCAAATACTCATAACAAAATGACAAAGGTGATGTACGGCAGCGCCACGACAAAAGAATACGTGAAGTGTGAGAGATCGATATCTCGCACGAACTTCTCAAAGCACGCGAAGAAGTGCAAGGGGATAAAAGCGCGTGAATCCAGGGTTGATATTCGCAAGAGGTCGTGGGTTAAGCACCGCGCCAAGCGCGTCTCCGAGCAGCGTTCTCGCCGCGCTACACAACTATTCCAGAAACTCGAAGGTACCGTGAGTATCTTATATTTTATACACAATTGTGGTACTTACGATTTGTATCTAATAATGACAGCGCTCCGACAGGAGCTTAGAGAGGTGGAGCACGGCGCTGTCCCTGACAAGCCACAGCCGAAAGGGCTACGACAACACCTCCTTAAGAAGCTCAGTCAAAACGGACCGCTGTTTGAGTACATTTTTGCTCAGGTAAAGATATCCCGGTAAGCTTTCAGCTAAACACTAACACTGACTGCCTTTTGTTATTAGATGGACGAAATCGACTTGCTGTCAAAGACGTGGCTCCGAAAGGCCTACCTTCTTCTGCATCGTGACAAGCGCCATTGGATGCCACCAGAGTTTCAAGGAGAGCCTGTTGAGATATTGCTTCAAGAAACATGCAAATTATTCGGTCAGTACAAGGCACAAATGCTCGATGCGGACGCCCATACTATTTTTGGAGAGAGGGTCCGCCTTCAAAAATATCTTGCCTATTTACGAACGACGTATAGCGAGCGCGTCAAGCAGTGGCTTACCAGCTGTGAGGAGATACCGGCTTAAAACGCAGCTCTCAGAGCTCCAATTCAAGATGAAATTGACAGCTGCAAAGAAGGCAAGAATTGTGCAAGTTTAGCTGAGTTTGAAGGAATATATGTGGCGGGCTTTATCGAGAAAGGCAAGATATATGAGAACAAGATGAAGGAAAAGGAGAAGGATATGACGGACGAGCGTCGCTTTCGGGAGGTGTTTGGTTTTGATTCGGATAGTGAAGAAGGATAGTAAAGAAGATTAAGGAATATTTTTTGTTTTAATTTTAACCAATCGGATTTACCCCCTAACAACAAGACTCTAAGTACTAAACTAGACTCTAAGTACTAAACAAGACTCTAAATACTAAACAAGACTAAAAGTACGAATCTTTAAATGATTGGATCTGCAGCTCATTGTTATTTTGGCTGGACGACATGCATATACCCAGCCAGTGTCTATCGTATTTATGGCAAGACACCCCGCATCATTCCAAGAGCTGTTACAAGGCGGTATCGACACAGCAACACACGTGATTAACCAGGACACAAGGAATGTGTATGCATCATATTTCAGGAAGTTCTGCGAGTTTTGTATCGCCAATGAGCATCCCAACCCAGCGCTTACGCGACATCACGAGCTACCTTCTCTACTAGTCGCCTTCATGGAAAGTGTCTCTGCATCCGCTTTGGTTTCTAACCAAGCCGCAGAGAAGATTCGCGCAGCTGTAGCAAACTACTACGGAGGATACAAACGTCGAGACGCAGCAGGACCTGACAAGTGGATGGTACTCACAGACGAGCAAGGTAACAAGTATCGCGGAGTGGTGTTTTGGCTAGCCGCTGAGTGCTGCCAAGCTCATTGGGAGTGATGTGAGATATTTCGCTGCTCAAATGGGAGCTTCAGATGCCAAAAACGCGACCGATTCTATACTGGCAATGTATAGTGCATATTACACGAAGCACTGGCAGAAAGACTCCGCCGAGTTTAACCTGAATGTTCTTACAATCGATGCGCTAGCACGGTGCATTCGCCTGGACAGGAAGCGTCGGGTTGTTAAGTCGAAACATACCCACCTATAGTGCAACCAATATATTCTTTCATCAGTATTTTTGGTCTTGCTGTAGTATTTTTAGTCTTGTCTTAGTACTCTCAGTCTCGTCAAAACCACATAGTACTTTTGAACTTGTCAATTCCTTTACGCACTCGAGGCCTTCTACAACTAATTTTTGCTCACCTTCGAACGTTTTGCACATTCAATATTTTTTTCCACATTTTCTGTGCTCGCCAAAACAAATAGAACAAAGTGCTCCGATTGGACATGCAATCGAGAGTTGCATATTTTGTTGTTTCTGGACGCGGAAGTTACTTCAGACAGAGACTTAATACAAAAAGCAAGTAAGTCGGAAGCAGCTTCCGTTTCCTGAGATTTGCAGTTCGTACAGAAGCGTCAATCGGGTTAGGGTATCCATACAAAGCATAAGTATTTATGCGAAACTTTTGTTTTCATTATGTCAATGGAAGCGCTACTTCCTCTAGCGCAAGGTGCTGTGTGACCCCGTCACATTCCAGCAGCCGAAATAGAAAAACAGTCGGTCGCAGTAGTACGCATCATCAGCAGCTGTTCAGGACGGTGGTAGCGAGGACATTTCACTGATTGCTACATTTATCAGTCGGTAGCTAAATCGGACCAAGTTTAAATTCCCCCTGAGTTAACACAGCAAATCGTGCTGCAAAATTGATGAAACCACAGTACTGTAGGTACCAGGTGGTACCTATTTATTAGCCCTTTTCCTTTTAACCGGAGTTTTTTTGCGGCGATTTACAAAGAATGTGGCACGTTCGGCTCGCCCAACGCCTTATGCTACATCGAAGCTGCAGACCGAAGCATCCAACTGCTCTCTCTACCTGCCCCATGTCGACTCTCATACCGGCCCCGCGCGCCGCCGTCTGCGTCATCGGCAATGAAGTCCTCACCGGAAAGGTCCACTGAACGTATCAGTTTTATTCGATCAAAATTGTTGCTGTTTGTACTAAGGTTTTACATCTTTCTCCACCAATTTCTATCTGCAGACGCTGGATACCAATTCGCACTGGATCTCCAAATTCATGTTCCGTCGGGGCATCGATCTGAAGCGCGTCGTGGTGATCCCCGATGAGGAGGAGACCATCGTGTCCACTGTGCAGGATTTATCGCAGATGGTGGGCCCCAGTGGCTACGTGTTCACGACAGGGGGCATCGGACCCACCCATGATGACATCACCTACGAGAGTGTGGTATGCCAGCTTTGCTTGAGATGAAAGTGGGGTTTGCTGTGTACCTTTTCCTGATTGTCATCGCTGTTTTTTTTTTCTGTAGGCAAAAGCGTTTGGGCTTGGCGTTGAGTACCATCAAGATACATTGAAAGGGCTGGAAGATGCTATGGCGAACCGTGGAGGAGAGATGACAGAGGGACGCAAGCGAATGGCGTTGCTTCCGGCTGGTTGCAAGACGTTGACGACAGACTTCTGGACGCCTATTGCTGTTGTCGAGAACGTGTATATTTTGCCTGGTATCCCGTCGATGGTGCGCTCGATGCTCACGTCAAACGAAGAACACTTCGTTGGTGTACCAATCTTCCGTGCGATCGTAAGTGAATCCACTAAATCCTTACAAACCTCACCAACCTGACGTTCTCCGCTGCTGCTAAAGGTCAAAACTTCGAGATTGGAAGGTGATATTGCGACTCAATTGACAGCAGTCCAGAACGCACATCCGAACATTGCGATCGGCAGCTACGTGAACCTGACGAAGGACGAGACAGGTGTACGAGACACGAGCTTCAACACTCGCCTCTCCATTGAAGGCCGCGACGAAGCTGAAGTCCAAGAAGTCAGCGACACAGTCGCGAAACTCTTCGACGGGGAATTCATGGCTACATCCGAAAACTAGAATCCTCGAATCTTTGTATAAGCCCCGAAAATAAGATGAAGATAAACCCGAAAACAACCCTTGTTATTTTGTTTGACACTGTTCTACCTTACGTTGACCACTTACGCCGAATTGAGCATCGAGTTGAGTACATGGTGCAGCAGTGTATACTGCGAATCACGGAACTCCGCAGGTACGCTGTTGAGACCTGTCTGCAACTCCTGAAGAACACTCGTCACAAATCCTGCGATCGTTTGATCACGCACGTCCATCACTAGGAGCGACTCACGCAGCCAGTTCAGCTTCGTCTCTAAGTCATCCACGAGGTCGGCACCCAGTTGCTGAACCAGACACAAGATCAGCATCTGCGAGAGCTTGGGCGGACGGCTGCTGAGAACAAGACGAGGGTCGCATTGCTGGCACGTGAACGCCACGAGGTTCACGTTCTGGGCACCGAGTGCAAACTTGAACGCCTCCTCCCAGTCATTTTGTGACAGACAGTCCAGTACAGTGTTCTTCTGAGCCTCCAGCTGAAGCTCCTCAGCCGACTGGGCAGTAGGGGCGATTGCGCCATCCACAGCTCCAGCATTAACAGCAGAGCTCAGTTGTTCCACCTGCTGGGACAAGCTTTCCACCACCTTCGTCAGCTGCTCCAGTTGACTTGCCACCTTCGCGTTGCTGGTGTTTTGGCCACTGCTTTCAAATGCGCTGCGTGTGCCCTGCACGAACGTGTCGTTGATCTGCTCGAACATCTTCTGCGTGGCAGCCTGGAACGACGGGATCAAAATGTCCTGGAAACACTCGCGGAACGACTCACGCACCGGCTGACGAACATCTTCCACGACACGCTGTACCATATCATCGACGCCGTTAGCCAGCTGATCAGGTAGCGTCGTTGCCAGAGAGTCATCCAGCTTCTGCTCCATCAACGGGATCAGTTTCTCGCTGATCACATGCTGGAATCCGTTCTGCACAGGCTTCATAAAGTTGTTCTCCATCGTGTGCAAGACAATGCGACCCATCGCAGGCACCAGCACGGACTGCAGCTGCTTCTGAATAGACTTCTCCACTTGAGTCGACACTTGCGCTGTCAGGTGGTTGCCCATAGTGCCCATAACTACTCGCATCTGTTCACGGAGCTCCTCATCGCGCTGCAGCTGTGCCGCCTCCATACGACGAAGCGAAGCTAGAAGTGTCTGCTGCTGCGTCTCGCTCGCTGTGTCATCAATAGACGGGTCGTACTGCACAGAAGATTCGTCCTGGAATGCACGAACGGAGGAAGACGGCGACGAGCGGTTGTAAAAGCGCAAGTTAGGCAGCATCCCATCGTCACCAGCTAGCGAAGACGCGGAAATCGAGACGGCATCGTCACTGGTGGCGAGATGCAGCGAGCGAGCGCCAGTGCTACGAGTGCTTCGAGTGCTCCGACCACCAGGCGACGACGGAGCCCGAGGTAGTCCATTGGGACCTGTGCGAAGAGGAGCATGTTGGTCAGTACTGCTGTTTTCTTCTTCGTCGTCGTCTTCAGGGGCCTGAGCATCAATTTCTGTCTCGGGAGCAGGAATTGCAGGCGCAGCACGTGGAGACTCGGCTGTGGTCTGGTATTCTCCTTCAGTCGTCACAGCACCGACAGTCTGTCCAACGTTCTCGCTAGCTTCCACTTCGTCCTCGATCGAGGCACGCGCTCCAGGGATGTAACATTCTTTGGCACCCACGTGATACCGCTGAATGGCTTGTGTCTGGAGACAGTAAAGCTGCATAGTGAAGTTCAGTCCACCCAGTGGTGAGGACACACCACTGCCGTCACGTGCTGGTTGGCTTTGACTCGTACGGTTCAGTAACCCCATGCTGAGCACTGGATAAGCTAGCGCGAAGTCGGTTACGTTGTCGAATCGACGTGGTGTGCGGGCGTCCGAGCTGGGAGCCAGGTGGAAGGCGTAGACCAACGGCTTACTGCGGTCAGCCACGAACAAAAACTGCGTCGTCGGGTCCAGTATCGTCTCGTGGATCAGCGACGAGTCTGTCAGGGTTTCATCACGCAGCGTCACTGTCTGGTAGCACACGGGAGGTGTATTCTCCGTCAGCGCCGCATTCCACAGCGATAGCTGGGTATTGGCTTCACCGCCGATCAAAAGTCCAGGCTGATTCAGGAAGTTGCCACCATAGAAGTGGAGACTGTTGACAGCTTCACCATTGAACGGCTCGAAGCGCTGGATAAACTCAGCTGGCTGACCAGGAAGTCGGTCCTGCACGCGATACACTTGCACGAAGCCATCACTGCCCGCCGTGACGACACACTCGCCGTTACCAAGCGAGAACGCCATGTCATTGATCTGACCAGACGTCTGGCCGCACACCACACTGATGTCGTACAAGTTGTCAGCGCCCGAGCCGTCAGCGTCCACCCCCGACAGGTCAGCAATCAGCACCACGCTGCCATTAGCAATAGCGATCTTGTTCGAGTCCGACGGATGCCACTTGACACGCTGCGCCTGTGTAGGCACCAATTTGATCAATTCGCGACTCATGGGATCATTCTGAATGGCCCAAATGGCGATATGGTGGTCCGTTCCGGAGCTTAGCAATAAATCCGACTTGCTACTGAAAAAAGCCAGCTCCGTGACTGCGTGATGCTCGTGCTTCCGAAGCAAAAGTCTGTCCACTGAGCTTTGGCTGATCACACGGATCAAGCCGTTCCTGATCGGGTACGAAATAAAGTGCTCGTTCACTGAGATCAAGTTGCCCAATTGAGAGATGCGTTCAGAGTTGTAGAGCGTGATCGGCATGACTTCCAGCGATCTGCTGTCACCGTTATCTCCACGTGGCTGGTACTCTATGTTCTCTCCACTGAGTCTAACGCCTGGAGGTGACGTGGGTGCGTCAGCAGCTCCGAATCCTGCGGTACCTGCACGTCTGGGGGATCCTGTTAGTGAGCTGGAGGCGGACCCGCCAGCTCCGTTACTGCGACTGCCGTCCATTGAGACAGTTGTGGCACTGCGTGGACCAGCAGGGTGTACCCCTCCACCGGTGGAAGAGAGACTAGGTACAGGTTGGAACTGGGAGAAGGCAGGAGGCAAAGGAGCCGATCTGGGAGGCGGGAAGGCTCCATGGACTGGCAGATTCGGCTGGAAGTGGGGTAAAAGCGAGTTCGGGGCGCTCATAGGAGGCATGGGACGCATATGGTTGATAGTCATAGGCATGGAGCTGGAGGACGAGGCCAGGAACTGCTGTAGGAACTGGTTCGGACTGCTCATTGGCTGAGAAGGAGGCGCAGGGAGCTGGTGCTGGTGCTGCAGCAATTGGTGCAACGGGTTGCTCTGCGTCACTTCGGGGGAGACCTGGTCGAGCAGCGAAAAGCGACCTGGGTCATAAACGCAGGTTAGTGGCACGATTTCCCTTCGCTACAGAAAACGATAGGCTGCACCTGCGCTGGGGTTGGGCGGCATGGGGGCGCTGCCTGGAGGTGGCGGCGCTAGACCGCTGCTGGCCGTGCTGCTGTTGCGGCTATGGCCGCTGTCGCTGCGCGCGCTCATGAGTTCGAGACGTCGAAGATGCAAGATGCGTTGTGGGCAGAACGCAGAGGGGGGATAAATATCTAGAGGGGACGACAGCTGGATTTGACCCACAAACTCTTAATGTCATCTCTCCCTTCGATTCTTTTTTATTATAGTACTTTTATTCCAGAATATTAGTTCATAAAGTACTACTTTATCCGACCTTCGGCACAACGCCCTATTGCCAAGGAGTGGTAACGTAGATGACCCATGCTGTTGCTGCACAGGAAGGTCAGGAATGCCGTGTAGATAGCATTAAATGAAACCAATGCTGCACAGAAACCTTTATACTTGGAGAACTTTAGTTTCTGGACTTTAGTTTTTGGACTAGCTCCAGAAACTAAAAAAAGCTCTCTACTATCCAATTTTTGGACTCTATGGCATTTGACCCTTTTTCTGGCAATTGCTCCCAAAACGATTTTAGTTCTATTCTATTAATATCTTTTTTGTATTAATCAGCTTTAAACCACTTAGCATTCTCCGATCCCCTCGCTACACTGCATCTCTCTCTGCTCGCACCATGGCCTCGACCGCCCCCCTCACAGCGCCATGTGCTGCTGTCTGCGTGATCGCCAATGAAGTTCTCACCGGAAAGGTTCGCGACGACTACTACGAGATCTTTCTGATCACCATGTGCTAACGTCTGTACCTTACCAGACGCTCGACACCAACTCCAACTTCATTGCGAAGCTCATGTTACGTCGAGGCGTCGATCTCAAGCGCGTAGTCGTGGTCCCCGACGAGGAGGACGCCATTATCAAGACTGTCCAGGAGCTGTCGGATTTCGTGGGTCCGAGTGGCTACGTCTTCACAACGGGAGGCATCGGACCCACACATGACGACATCACCTACGAAAGCATTGTACGTATGAAATGGCAGGTATTAATTGATACTTTATTGTTCTCATAATCTGGGCCATTCTAGGCGAAAGCGTTCGGTGTGGGTGTAGAGCTCCACGATGTAACTTTTGCTGCTTTGAAGAAGTTCGGATACCCCAACATTCAAGTTGATGACAGTGTCAAGCGTATGGCGATTTTACCCGTAGGTTGCAAGCTGCTGCCGTCGTCTGGCTGGACTCCAATTGCAGTTCTACACAATGTGTACATCCTACCTGGAATCCCGTCCATGGTCAAGGACATGCTGACTTGTAACGAAGAACACTTTGTCGGCGTGCCCATCCACCGGGTCATTGTACGTTTTGCTCGTATTTTTTATTATGATTTTGCGTAAGAGCTAAGACAAATATCCTTCTCCAGGTGAACACGCTGGAGTACGAAGGCACCATTGCATCCTCCCTCAAAAAGGTGCAGAATGAACACCCGGGCGTCATTCTGGGCAGCTACGTGAACCTGACAGAGGAAAAAACAGGGACGCGCGACACGAGCTTCAACACGCGTCTGACAGTGGAAGGTCGCGACGCAGAGGAAGTGAAGCAGGTTGGAGACAAGTTGATCGAGCTGTACAAGGGCACGAACGCAGACCCCACAGCGGCCGTTTAAGTCAACCAATTTTACGGCTTGCTGACTGTGCTTTCAACAGTCGTTATGAGCGCATATCGAGCCTTTGTTAGACCTTGTTAGCTCCAGCGTCCAGCGGTTGAAAGCGCCAGGAGCTGTTTCTAAGCCTCTTCACTTTAAATTGTCGAAGCTTGCGAATATCATATCATCAGGGCGTACTGTAACACTGCTCGCCTTTCTTGCAGCCTAGAGACGCTGTGCGATTCGTCGTGCGTAGCTCACACTTCAATCTGCGCCGTCCGGAACTCGATGCTCGCAAAGGTTTTGTTCGCGTTTATTGCGGCAATTACGACTGAGAACCCCGTGCATGCGTCGGCCGCATACGCTAACATGGTAACGACATACAGCCCGATGCACTCGTTGGCCTACCCACTACAGGAGGTGAGACCCTCAATGCGACCAAACTGGCAGCATCGGTCGACACTGACCTCGTTATGATTTCAAAGTACTTAATAATATTGCGAGTAGTAGGTGCGTGCGAGTGGGGAGTGTCTGTGACGAAGTACGCGGCAAGAACAACGTAAAGCTGCATTTGGGCGTATTCATGACCCGAAATCGACAACGTTGGCAGAATTATCCTGGTGCCGCAGAAGCAGTTCTCGTTGGCCACGAAAACCTGATGAACGGTGTGAAAGCGACAGACATTCTCAGCATCGTTTCCACGACCAAACTGCGCTTGAGTGCTCAAGGAACCGTCCGTGCAGGGAAGCACCGAGTACTTGAGCTCTGCTTATGCCAAAGAAACTGCTACCTTCAAGACTACCCTCGGCATCCTGGGTGCGACGACGGGATTTACCCATTCTTCGACCCAGCATACAATACCAGCACCTCAACAGCCATTTTGGACGGAGCATGGCTCAGAAATCCCCCTTCAAGCAAAATCAACTTTAACAAAGCTTTGGCTACTGTAGGTGGGTGCCTTCAACCGCAGCGAGTGCCACCTCGGTATCGCTTAGACTCTGGGTTTCCTTCTTCGATCGCCACCCGATGATAGCTCGATGGGTGTGGAGGTGGAGAAGTGTTGAGCAATCCTGTCGCAAGTTTCCCGATGCCGGCATCCAAACGACGACAAAGGCCAATTTGGGCCCCAAAGGTATTAATAAACGTGGACTGCATTTGCATAAAGCTGTCTATGAAGTGTGAGTCACTGAGACTGCAGTGCATTACCCGGTACAGTGAATCGTAAGGCCCTGGTCTAAGTAAACTTGTTCCGAGAATAGTAGAAGGGATTGGGTTGGATCAGAACGACTGGAGCGGAATTTACTGTGGCAGAGACAGCAAACTCGTTCCGACCTCCACAAGGTGTTCTGAGGACCCCACACAGAACGGTATAAACTCGGAACGCTCGCTCTGCTCTCAGCCAATCAAAAGGCAGAAATTTCAGAACGAGTTTCGTTTTTTTCTACTTAGACCAGGGCCTAATAATTTCAGAACGAGTTTCGGTTTTTTCTACTTAGACCAGGGCCTAATAAACGTTTGATCGTTTACATGTAAGCGAGAATATGTACATGTATTAATACAAGTTCATACATTATGTATCACGATTGCGTCTCCGTCGAGAATGTAAAGTCATTACAGCGTACATGTACTACATGTATAGTATGAGTAAACGCGAATTGCCGTTAAGACGAGTTAAGAAGAGTTTCTTTCAAGAACACTCTCCGCCGATTAAAGTTTGAAGACTCCACGTAGGTGTTTGGTAATAAACACCTACGTGGAGTCTGTCCAACAACCAATTTGGTTGCTGGACACAATGTCGGTACAGTACTGCACCCCGTTTTCGCGCACTTGGACCTTTGATAAACTGCCGGGTGTGATGATCCGAATCCAAATGAACTGAGGTTTATATGCTTAAATATGATTTACTTGCAAATCCTATATGGTCCACCCCCGCGAAAACGGGGTGCAGTACTGTACATGTGCACACCGTACAATTGCAAACGGACACCTCAAATCGCAAACACGGCAAAGCCCAGAGCTTCTACTGTACGAGTGTGATTTGTCCCAGCCTATCCCAAATCCCAAATTGGGATTCCCAATACAGACTGCAAGACTTTTGCGAAGCGGATACATGTATCGTATACAGTACATATGTACTTCCGCATAATCAGGTGAAAACGGTAGCATGTTGGCACGAGTCCATCGATCTTTCGGATAGGCCCCACATCCTCTACGAGTTGAGTTCTTCACTTCTCAACTGCCGACATCCAGTGCACACCAACTAAGTCAAAGACAATGGGAGTTTGGAAGACCGATCAACTCGCACCAGTGCGTGTCACCACCCCAGGAAGTGGCAACGACATCGCTTCTCGCCAACCAGTCACAGTTCTGGATGCATTCAAAGAGATTGTGTCTCGCCTACCGCATGGAAGAGCACTCAGCATCAAGAAGGATGGCGAGTGGGCCACCCACACCTGGAAACAGTACTACGAAATCTGTCAGCAGTTCGCGCGAGCCCTCATCCATGTCGGCGTGGAGCCTCACGAAGCGGTCAACGTGCTCGGACCCAACTGCCCGGAGTGGCTATTCACGAACATGGGCTCCATTATGGCTGGCGCGGTTATCGCCGGAGTCTACGTTACCAGTACCGCCGAAGCTTGTCAGTACATCTCCGCGCACTGCGACGCCAAGGTAGTGGTGGTGTCCGACAGAGCACAATTGGACAAGTATCTGTCCGTGGTGGAGCAGCTCCCCAAGTTGAAGGCTCTCGTTGTGTGGAACGAGACCGACGTACCCCGTGACATCAACTGTAGCGTCCCAATCTACTCATTCAGCGACTTCCTTCGTCTGAGTGAAAACGTGGAAGAGCGTTTGTTGGACCAAAGGATGGCAGCTCAGCTACCTGGTCACTGCTGCACGCTCATCTACACTTCCGGCACGACGGGCCCTCCGAAAGCTGTGATGATTTCCCACGACAACTTGACGTGGACTGTGGCAGCAGCTATGAACACTCTGCCAGCTCTGGGAGACGCTGAGCGAATCGTGAGTTTCCTACCACTTTCCCACGTTGCGGCTCAAATCTTGGACATCCACTTGCCACTGGCGATCGGATTTGAAGTCTACTTTGCAGGCCCAGACGCTCTACGCGGTGGTCTGCTTGGAACACTTCAAGAAGTCCGTCCCAACTTGTTCTTCGGAGTGCCTCGCGTGTGGGAGAAAATGATGGAATCTCTAAAGGAAAAGCTCGGTGGTGCACCGGAAGGACTCAAGAAGTCACTGTTGACATGGGCGATGAGTAAAGGCGCTAAAAACGCCGACCAATCGCAGTATGGAGCGACAGGCTTGAGCTTGACTTTCTGGGCTGCAGACTATCTGCTTTTGAGCAAAGTTCGTAGCGCTCTTGGACTGGATGAGTGCACCACCTTCTTGACTGGCGCTGCTCCAATTGCTCCAGACGTAATTCGCTACTTTAGCACTCTCAACATCCCTCTATACGAGCTGTTCGGACAGTCCGAGTGCACGGGGCCTCACTCCATCAACACACAAGAGAAATGGAAGATCGGCAGTGTCGGTCCCGAGATGGAAGGCACGAAGACTCGAATTGACTCGGACACTGGCGAGATCCAATACACGGGTCGTCACATTTTTATGGGGTACCTGAAGGACGAAGCGGCCACCAAGGCAACTCTCGACGACGATGGCTGGCTGTACTCGGGTGATGTTGGTGAGATCGACAAGGACGGGTTCTTGTCCATTACTGGACGTATCAAGGAGATCATCATTACGTCCGGAGGTGAAAATGTGCCTCCTGTTCTGATCGAAAACGCTCTCAAGGCGGAGCTCCCGGTGCTGGCAAACGTGATAGTTATCGGCGAAAAGCGCAAATTCCTAACTTTCCTTTGCTCACTGCGAGTGGAGCCTGACGCTACTGGAGCGCCCACCGACAAGCTGGACAAGACAGCTCTGGCTGTGGCCAAGGAGATCGGAAGCAGTGCGACTACCGTTCCGGAAGCGCAGGTGTGTGACAAGTTTCAGAAGCACATTGAAGAGGGCATGGCACGAGCCAACTCGAATGCCGCCTCTCGGGCTCAGCATCTTCAGAAGTTCTTCATCATCCCACGCGACTTCTCTCTCGACGGCAACGAGCTCACCCCCACGATGAAGGTGAAACGATCAGTGGTGGAGAAGAAGTACAGCGGGGAGATCGAGCAGATGTACGCGGTTGCTAGCTTGTAAAAAGATCGTGCGCAACATGAATACACCAGTGCATGCTGCTATTATTCTTGAATCGTCAAGTAGTCTGCATCTAAAGTTCAACCGCTCTTGACACAACCGTAAGACTTGAAAATAGCTTTCGCGATTGGCTGCGTTCGTTTATCGAGCTTGGTCAGTTTTCGAGCAGCCAACTCATTGGGGTTAGCGGCATCCAGAGTGTGTACGTGTCTGACATAGCATGTGGAACGTAGTCGAAGGTGGTGCCGTCTCCCGTGACGCTGCAGGAAAAGCGTATCCTCATGAAGATCATCACACGGGGAGAACCGGACGCGTGTGGCGTGGTGCATTGGGTGGAGCTCGTGGTGAGGTGGTGCCGGCGTCCAACCGAGTATCGCTCAAAGTGGCGGAGCAGGAGCGTCTAGTTCGTCTCGCTCGCTCCAACCGCACGTACAAGTACATGCTGCTGCCGGATTCTCTCTTCCGATACTGCTGGGACCTTCTTCTCGCTATCACGACTATCCTACTCATCTGGCGTGTACCCTACACGATTGCATTCGGAGATAGCGATCTCTGGTATTGGTTCGCTTTCAACAAGACTACCGATGCAATTTATCTGATAGATGTCATTTTAAACTTCCGGTACGGACGATGATGTTTTTCTTCTGGCTAAACTCAAAAAGTTGACGTTCAATTGCAGAACTGGATACGTAGAAGACACCGAGGTCATCATGGACAGCCATTTGGTCGCTAAGCACTACGTCAAAGTGGGTGCTTTAATCGGTTTAATGTAAAGTTTTATCAACGCGACTAAACTTGCTTTTAACAGTCCTGGTTTATCGTGGACGTCATCGGGTCGATCCCCGTCGAATATATCATCAGCTTCAACACTACCGGCATCTCCAGTGTTGAGCGGAAAGCTTTCAAGGCTTCTGTGAAATATATGAAAGTCCCGGTACGATCAGCAACCTGGTCAGTAGTTTTTTTCCCCTGTCAAACTAAATGTCTGTTGTCCACCCAGAAACTTTTCCGTGTCACTCGACTTATCAAATTCGTTCAGTAAGTCTTTTGCGGCTACTTTTTGTTTTTTTCCCAATTGCAACCTCACACTCTCAATGGCGCAGGAAGTACATGAAGTTCGCGTATGCTGTCCAAGTGTTTGCGTGTTATATCTCCTTCATCCACTGGGTCGCTTGTCTCTGGGCCGGACCAATGTTGGGCTTAACCGACGTGGAAGACGAGCAGCTCGCCTACAACGAGGCACTGTACTCCGCTGTGCTTCTGATGCTAAATATCTCCGCAGCAACAGTCGAACCCAAGTGGCAGTTCGTGAGTGCTCTCCTGGGCGTTGTGGGCTTCTTGTTCCAATGTCTCACACTTGCGAGCATTACAGCGGGAGTGATCGGCTCTAGTTCTCGAGCTCTGCAATACCAGGAAAAAGTTCGGATGGTTATGAGCGACCTGAAGGCGCTTCACGTGCCTAGCGAGTTACGAAAAAGCGCGAGAAATTACTACGAGACTCTTTGGCGCATGAAGAACACGTCCGATCGATACGAGAAGGCCATCTACGAGGACGAAGACCTCTCGCCAGCTTTACGCGCTGAAATCGCGCTGTACATCCATCGGAACCTCATCGCCACTGTTCCGCTCTTCCAAGACTGCTCCGATTCGTGTCTGGCAGAGTGCGTCATGCGGCTGAAGACGGCGCTATACATGCGCGGCGACGTCGTTTTCCACAAAGGCGACCCGGCCAACTCGATGGTTATCATCAGTCGCGGGAAAGTCAAAGTCATCTCACCCGATAACGAAGGTCTTCTCGTCGTACTTAAGCAAGGGAGTTTCTTCGGCGAGATCGGTCTCTTGCGGCATACGACGCGCTCTTGTACAGTGATCGCAGGCACTTTTTGCGAGTTGAAATCGCTGGAGAGGAACGACGCCGAGGAAATCTTCGAGGCGTATCCACATATTCACGACCGGCTATTTGCCGAAGCTGAAAAGCGCCGACTGGATACCCGCTTGAAAGCACGGCTTTATAATGTCAAAATCCTGGACAATGCACACGCTGTAGACGTCAGTAGTATCGTGGAAGGCCCAGAAGGAGGGACAAACAGAATCTCCTTTGTCAACGGCGCTGCAGAAGAGAGACCCCCAGGCACGTCGTCATCAGGGGCGGCTTCCGGTGGCAAGCCGTCGCGCTACAATTCTTTCCAAACGGAAGACGGCATCGCGGTCAACAGTGAGCTGGACAGCATGAATGTCAACTTGGAAGAGATCCAGCGATTGGTCGAAATGCTCCGAGACACACAAGGACGCTTATCTCGCGTGCAGGAACGGCGGCAGTCCCTGCATCTGGCCTTGGACACTCCCACGCCCGTCAACAGTATCCACTCCTTGTTATTCACCCACTCGCCGTCGTTTCCACCTCATGAATCCAGAACTGCCACTCACAATCGAGACTCGCTCCATAGCGTCGAAGAACTTTTACGAGACGATTAATAGAAACGCAATAGACACACACAGATCACACTTGGCTCGTTCACATGCCTAGCAGGAACAACAGACGTGCACAGCAAGGAAACGTCAGGATACCACGACACGCTTAGACTCATCTGGTAGCGCGTTCAACGAGCTCCTGCTCAGTGTATTTGCCTCGCTGTCTACTACCAGACAATGAGTAGCAGGAAATGACGCAAACACTGAAGATAAAATGACAAGAGCGGGTTCTAAACAGCGGAGCGCTTTGTCTCCTGCTCTCCCAACGACTGGTCACTCTTCTCCTTCTGTCAACACAACAAAAAGGAACATTAGACAGCACTCACACGTTAGAACGAACAACTACATTTACCTTCTTGTCGCTCATAGACCGAGAAGATCTGGTCTTCTCAGGCCGGCTGAGCAGGTTGTTGAAGAAGTTCTGCAGGTGCTTGGAGCTCACGTCCTTCTCTTCACGTTTACGGCGATCAGCGGCAGCGCGACGCGCGACTGCTGCCTGCTCCGCCTTCTTGCCGGCTTCAATACTTTGCTTCTGCAGCTCTTCCAGACCAGCGCCGGCGGCCTTCTCCAGCTTTTCCAGCCACTGGTCGTGACTGTCCACACGAATATCACTAGCCAGCACGGCAGCAGCATCCTCCGTGTCTTCGGTCGGCGCCAGGACGATTTTCTCGAACGGTTTGTCAGTGGGCCAGCGCGCCTGCGAGCCCACAAGACTCTGGTTCACCAGCTCGAACGAGTCGTAGCCCGACGGGATGAAAATACTGTTGTGGTCCACTAGTTGCGGAGGCTCCGTGAGCTTGAACTGGGACGGGAACGCACGGTGCAGAATATACTTGCGAAGTGTATCGACGTTGGCTTCAGTTTTGGCAGAGGTAAACACCACCGACGCGCCGTCTGCACAGTCGCGTTTTAATAAATGGCACTTATTTTAGTAGCAACACAAACATATCGACGCGGCTTACATCGAATCGCGAACTGGCGTAACGTGTACTCGATGTAGTCCATTTTGACAGAATTTTCTGGACGTAGCTAGAAACAATGCAGCAAAACAGTGATAAAAAGACTCAAGCACACCTTCTGGTCGCGCCAGCATCAATACGTACATCCGCCTTGGCCACAACAATCACAAGAGGCACACCCAAGTTCTTCGACAACACGCCTTCTTCCATCTATTGTTAAATGGAGAAAACTTACAGGTGAGGACATTTTCTTTCAGCTTTAAACAAAAAATACCTACGAATTCACTCGTAGACGTGTCCATGGGCGTCGGTGCAGAGTGGTCGACACTCTGTAAAGACAATCAATACTTAAAAATCAGTATCCAATCACTACAGCAGCTCGTCCTCCACTCCATACCGGGTCTTCGTAGGCCAAAATGTGCTGTTTGATGGCTGCGTACAGCTCGTTCCTCGTCTCCGAAGCCAGCTGGTTGATCTGTTCCAGTAAATGTCCTTCCAGCGCCGACAGCCACTGCTCCAGCGAGCTCTTGATGGTCCAGGGCCGCGAAAGGTCCAGCACAATGGCCACCACCGTCTACCAAATAATTGCCCACTTCGTTAACTAATTCGCCTCATTTCCCCATCTAAGCACTCGTCTAAAACTCTCACCTTTTGCAGCGTCTGGGGCTTCACTGCGATCTTGATGAGGTCCTTTAGACTCAAGTCATTAAGACTCCACGTGCCGATATGCGCTATCACGTCCTCTGAAACACATAAAGCGCAGTTAGAAATGAGTTTTTACCGCTTCCAGAACGTGTAGCCGCATTTTCAGTACCAGAGGCATCGCCACCGCTCTCCTTCGCGCGTGGGTCTAGCACATCGAGTGTCTTGAAGGCCAACAGCGTGTCCACAGCGTGCGTTTCGTCAGCTGTCTCCGAGGGAGTCGATTTAGCCTCATCCAGACGCGCCAGCAGCGCCGACTTGCCACTCTCCGCGTCGCCCACCACCAGAAGGTTGGCTACCGGCAGCTTGGACCGCACGGAGCAGTCGCGCAGCATCTGCTGCCATAGATCTTCCCCTGTCGTCATTCACTCTTGTTTCTGAAATTCAAGAGTGAACAGTTCTTTTTGCTTTTTCCTTAGCAATTATTGTCTTAAAAAAATAAAAGAAATGTTCACTTTAAAAAAAGTGCTCACTGCTTTCAGGTTTTTTTCAACAAAGCACATTTCAAAGAAAGCAGCTCCATTTTTATTTCTGTTTTTGCTTTTGTCAAAACAAGAATTATAAAAGCAAAATTTGATTCTATTTATTGTTTTTAGTTTTGCTTTTTTGATTTAAAGCTAAAACAACATGGGGAGTCGAACATTGCAAAAAACGTGCTAAAAATTCTCTTCGGATTATGCTCACAATTTTGACAGCGATGCTCACTTTCAAAGTAAGCCACCTCTGGAGGTGGCTTATATTTGAACTGAGCAGTTTTGATAAGTGAGCAGGTCCCGTCGTTCATTCGTTCCTTGGTTCCCTTCAGGCGGTACTTGGCGCCACCTACCGCTATTTTTTTCAGTTGTCAATCCACGTTCTTCTTCATACGTACGAGTAAGAGCCGATGTTCCTTAAGCTAAACGGCCGTGGTGATGATGTAGACACTAAACGACGTGTGCATGGGACACATGGTCATTTGCAGGACGCAATGGCGACGACGACACCAGCTGACATGATTGAGAACGAGGAAACAAACCGAAGTATCCCTCTCTCGCGAGACGACTATCTCATTATTGTGTGGATGGAGGTCGAGGACAACTTTGCGGCTGTTCACGGTTCAGGTGACAAGATACGCATCGGTGGAAAGCCAAAGGTCAAGAAAATTGACGCTTTCAGAGCACTATCGAAACATGTTATTAGCAAGACTGACAATGATGCGCTGCGTGCGGTGGGACTAACGGGTCGGAATATGCAACAGCGCTGGAAAACCTACATGCGCCGCTTTAAGCGAACACTGAAGGCAAGTCACACCGAGACGGGAATGGGAATATCTCGCCGTGAGCTTGCCGAAGGGATGTCAATCCCACAAAAACTGGAACAAATGTGTCCTCACTTTAGTAGGATGAAGACTATGTTTGGTCTAAAAGCGAATGTTACGCCATCGGCCACGGTGGAGCTCGGTTTACCTGACACTGATGAGAGTGACGTGGTGGCGAGCGATGTAAGTGATCACGCGGAGGACAGTAGCTTTAAAGAGGGCACCAGCATGACCGATGGATGGAGTGACGGCGACCTGACCTTTTCCCTTCTTGCACAATCGACCTTGGCCTCGATGGCCACGCCAACACCACCTGCGTCGCTTGATGCGAGTGAGCTAACCCAAACATCCGCGAATGTTCCCACGGATGGTACTGCTGGCGCGGAGCCTCAAGACTTGCAGCAGCGGACGAGGAGTCGGCCAGCACTCCAGGAAAAACTTTCGTCGAGCAGAGCTACGAAGCTATCGAAACGCTCGTCCCAAAGCGCATTGACGCCATGCATCGATCAGCCAAGTTTAACGGACTTCCAAGAAATCGCAACGTTTATCACAAAGTGCAGTGACGACATGCAACGAGCAACCGAGTTCAACTGCGCGGGCCGGAAAGAGCGTTGCATCTTCGAAACGAACAAACTCGGCACTTGTACAAGATATGAAACGCAACAAAGTAGATGAAAAAGACACGAACCAAACCAAACGCTCCACGACCGCTAATGATACTCGCATTTCGCTCTCAACGGCGTACGCGCGTAATACGGAAGCTAAAGCTGACAACTTAAACAAAAAGCTGGCAGAGGACCGTCGCCAATGGAATGCGAAGCAAGAAGCGGAAAGTCATCAACGCGCTGTAGAAACTGAGCAGCGTAAGCAAGAATACGAAGAGCGGCGTTCGGTCCGCAAGCATGAGCTTGTGCTTGAGCTGCTCCGCCAAAACAAGACTGAGAAGGAGATCGAGGCATTTTTGCGGCTGTTTGGATAAGCGGAGAACGTCTCGATCATTTTCAATACCGAGGAATCGAGAAGAGTCACTGCGGATCCGTTCGAAAACGTTTATTGCATTTTAAAAAATATACACATCGTCGATTTATCATTGCTAAGTGAAGTTGATCCTTCAAGCTCAATATGATGTGCTGTGTATTGACAAGTAAGCCCTGAACTATGCTTGCTCGCATCTAGGTTAAATTAAGCTTCAAAGTAGAGTTTGCTGCTCCCGATACCACAGAATTCCTCCGGGCTGGCGTCCTTCAGCAACTGCGCGGCGCTTAACCTCTCGCCGAAACAGATATGGGTCGTCATCGTTGGAATCGTACATTACCGGTACATCGTCATCATCATCTTCTTCACTCGACGAGCACTCCGAGTCACTCCATTCATCGTTTAAGTCGATCAGCATGTTGTGCAGAATGATACAAGCCGTAATCCACCTCAAAATGCTTTTCATGCTGTCATCATGGTTGAGCTGCGTTCGTACCTCCTTAAGTGAGCTCCATCCGTTCTTTAGCACGCCAATGGCATGCTCATTGACAACCCGGGCATGCGCGACACAAATATTGAACTCTTCAATGTCGGATCCTCGCATATTCGACTTGTAGGAAGGAACTATGGTGTTGTAGTAGAGATCGGCAGGGTATGCCGAGTCTGCAAGTAAATATTCCCCACTGCAAAAGAAGCGATGTTTCAGCTCAGGCTTCGAGAGGGACACTTCTTGGTAGATAGTGCTGTCCGAGCACGAGCCTGGCCATCCACTGAGAAACGAGATTATTCGACGCCAGGGGTCGCATACAACTTGAGCATTCAAACTGTAGCGTTTCTTTCTATAAAAAACACTCGCCGTCTTTTGCTGGCTTCTGAGGGAGAGGAATCGTAGTGCAGTCTATAAAGCCCACACAACCGAGGAAGCCCATGCTCCCCATGTGGCGTGATGACTTTCTCCGTTCAGCCGCACTTGGCCATCGGACGAAACGTCCCGCCAACTCATTTAGAGCACAAACAACTCGATCGGTGTAATCATCGGCAGTCCCTTTTCCAATTCCCCATAATCGCTTAGACCGACTAAGCGATGCCCCCGTGCCATAATTCCCGAACCGATCCAGAGCAACAACAAGCTGAAACCAAGCTGGAGCTTGCTTGCAATGTGCAGTAGTGGCAAACACCGGGCTGTCTCGGATGAGAACGCGCTGGAAGCTGTTTTTATCCATTCGCGTTATCACTCGGAACTCGGAATCCGGGGTTGAGTGAAAAATGTATCGGCGAGGAAGACAGTAGCTTTGGGGAGGCGTTCTCGGGCAACAAGATAGCGGGATGATTGCACTAGTAGAAGAACATCAGAAACAGCATCAACTTCAGAGAAGAGAAACTTCTCATCGTGGACCTCGGTATCAGCAGTGGATATGCCCAACGTGTCACTGTCTGCTTCCTCCAGTGCAGCTACAGCCAACACACTGTGGATCTCCCGTAGAAATCGCTGGCGATCACTAAGCTTTGGCATCCCCGGATCTTCGTATCGTGGCCTACGACTTGTAGGGATGGGATTTCTTCTCACTTAAGTGCGTCATTTTCGACTCCCCCTTTGCTCTCTATGCTCAGTTTTTGAGCACTCTTCTGCTAACAAATTAAACACGTCTCTGCTCACTTTTTTGATCAGTTTTTAATGTTCGACTCCCCCTATGAATATTTGTTTAGCTGTAAAGTTTGCTTTCATACTACACGTAGTAATCCTGAGTCGTTTGCATCTCCTCTCGGTTTGTTGAAATGTTCAATCTCTTTGATTAAAAATACTTGTTGGAGTGTTCACAAGCTATTGGATGGTTAAATATTTTGCAATGAGGTATCTGGCCAAGTCATTAGCACCACTACAAAAACGGCAAGTGAAATGGTCAGCGACTTGTCTGGAAACAAGCAAAAACTGGGTACCTTTGTTTGTAGATGAGGGACAAGTTGTAGGCAGTTTCTCGACACAACAAGTACTCCGGTGGCACCTCGCGCTTTTGCTCTTTGCTCTCCTCAAAGAACCGCAGCACTCGCTCGTACATCGGGATTGCCAAGTGAAACAAACCCTGCAGTAGAACCACCACAAATATTTTGTCAGAAAAAAACATATTCTCCACACCATTAACATGAATCAAACGACATACCAGTTGTTGGTGAGCGCGACCGATGTTGTACCAGGCCTCGACGTGACGAATATCCGAAATAATATCACTTGGGCCGGTGATACGGGCTCGCTCGTACTGCTGCAGGAACGCAAAGGCCTTTGCTACAGTGTGTTGTCGGTCGTTGATAGTCCGTTGCATCGAGGCCGAGAGGAACGCCAAGCCGATGCAGAAGAGCGTCAGCGGATCATTTGGGTGTTTCTGGTGAGCCAGCGTCAGCTCACCCACCGTCAGCGACGCAATATCCCAGGCCGACGACTGATGGCCAGCAAGCAAAATAGCAGGGTAGCTCTCGGGATCGTCACGCAGCAGCTTCGCTAAGAACTTCTGATGCCACGAGAAAACACCCGTGATAGCGATCACGCGCGAGAACAGGTTCCAGTAGCCGAGATTGTGCGGGTCCTCCATGATATTCAAGCGCGCGCACTCGTATGCCATGCGGTTCTCCTTAAACTCCAGGGCAATCACCAGCGCTAAGAACCGAAGCTCGAAGCGCAGAGTAGGCTTGGAGATTTTATCCGACGTGTTCACATCCGTCAATAGCTCGATCGCTGCCACGTACTTACCCAACTCCGTCAGTGTCTGGGCAACATCGATCACCAAATTGTAGTACTGTTGTTCGCCAAGCGCACGCGAGATTACTATTTGTTGGGCCACACGCATGACGATGCCCATGAACGACTCGCGCTGTCTCGCGTCAGTGATATCCACCAGGTACTCGGATTTCAACACCTGGAAGCCCATCGACTGCGCGTCACTTTCTGAAATAACGTCTTGAGGCTCTACCAGTGGGTTCTTCACGCGACCAGACAATCGGAATGACGTCTGGCTAAGAGAAGTCAAGATGATGGGGATGCCGACTTGGCACAGCACTTCAGCCTCACCCGACAGCTTCTTCAGATGCCCGTACTCAATCAGGAGTTTCAGACGAATACCATTTTCCATCGCATCAACGGACAGGGACGGGTCGTGGGCCATTTCCATACGAGTTTGCTCTTCGGCATCCTCTTCATCCTCCGCTTCTTCTTCCAGCTCGTCAGCATCACTGTCTGCATCTCCTTTGGCCTCTTTCTCGTCTAGTACCGAGCCCGAGTCTCGATCCTTACCCTTACGAGACGTGTTGATCCAGTAAGGTCGGATCGGAGGACACATGGTCTCTGGCAAGTACTCTTTAAGCAGCACGATACCCTCTACTGGTCTATTTTTCTTCCGTGTAGCCTGCATAGCCTGCAGCATCAATTCCGGCTCCACAGTCAAGTCCGGTGACGAGCGTTGGTGAGCCAACGCCTTCTCGTAATATTCCACAGCAACGTCATAAATCCCCAGTCGGTCGTGACACGCTGCAAACTTTATCCAGATCTGCTCAACCGGAAACTCCTCACGCCCTAACAACTGCTGCAGAATCGCTGCAGCCTCTCGATCCTGATCTCCTAGCGCAATGTACGCATCCGCCACGTCCAGGTACAGATCGCCAAACACTTCCACGTCCTGGGCGAATAAATGCGTGAACATGGACATAGCCGTGGTGAAATCTCGCTCGAAAAGATGACAGATACCGTATTTTACGGCAATATCAAGCGGCAGGCCACCCGGGTCGCCCTCCACTTGCTCAGGGTCTTGAGTCGAGGCATACCGTGAGTGGAGATGATGGATCACATCAATAGCTTCGCGATATCTCTTCAGCGTAATGTACAAATCCGCCAGCATATTCACTGCATTAAGCTCGTACTTCGAAGAGTGCTGATTCCTCGCTGGATCCAGCGTCGCCGCCTTCTCAATGCACATTTTCAGAGCCTCCACCGCCTCGTCTTCTTGCTCATTGCAATGATAGGCCTCAGCAATCTGAATCCACAACGACAAGTCGTTTGGGATCAGTACTGTGAGCTTCTTGAACACTTCGGCTGCTCGTCGATTGTCGCCCTGTTCTCGACACAGCTCTGCATAACTGAACAGCGCCTCTTTATCTTTCGGGTCTGCGCTGCTCGCCTTCTTGAAGCAGAACAAAGCCTGGTCAAAGTTCTTCTCGTCCTTTGCAATACGACCGACGCGTTTCCAGAGCTCCGCGTCTTGCGGGGTCAATGTGCATGCAATCAAAAAGAACTGCAAAGCCTTAATCCGGTCCTGTCGGTCTTCGTAGATCATACCAAGCGTGTGATACGGGTCTGGGATAGTCGGGGCCTTCTTGATAAAGTCTTTCAATAGTGTAATAGCCTCGTCGTATTGATGGGAAGCGTACAACATGTTGGCTTCACCCAGTACATTGGCCAGTTCTGGAGGCACTTTGGTGGCTGTGACGCTGCGTTTGCCCGTGTGTCCGCCACGTCGACGTCGACGACCTTGTCGGCCCCCCCGTCGTCTGCGCTTGCGAGACTTTCCCCATAATTGGTGCTCAATGTCTGAGTCTTCCTCTTCTCGTTCTCCACCGTTGCCTTCGTCCTCGCTGGACGGCGGCACGTACGCGTCGTCACTCTCTTCTAGACCGTCAGATTGTTGGTATTCTTCATCCAGCATGTCCACCTGTGCGTCGATGCGCCCCACCTCGTCCGCCGAAAGGTCCTGGGCATCGCCCATGGCCGCCTCCAGCAGAGACCGGAACGACATCGTGCAGTATCAAAAGTGACTGGGTGCTCGACGTCGATGCACAATTTGGACTATTTCCAAAAAAAATTGATTTGTGCACTTGTAAATTTTGAATTATGGCGGCACGTAGTGCGGACGGCAAGTCTTGGGCCGAGATACAGGAGATATGCAGCAAGGTAGAGAGTGTGTTTCACGAAGACGCGCTGAAGGACGCGGCTCGACTGCGCGCGCTCGTGCAGAAGCGCAAGGACATCGCTCACTCGCTCCAAAGCCGCCAGAGCGCGGCACAACGACAGCTTGCACGTAAGCAAAAGTACTGCAAATTATTATTGCTTTTTTGTCTTATATTTATGATGTACTGCCAGACCTGCGCGCAAACCTGAGCGAGTGGGAGGAAAAGGATCAAATGGCCAAGCAACGCAACGAGCAGCTGCACAAGAAACTGGAGGAGCTGGAAGCTATCAAGAGAGAGATGACCGTGCAGCTGGACCGCTTCCGCCTCAACGAACAATATCCTTCTCTTCCTATCTATTTGTTGCAGTAGTTGCATGTTCCATGTGAATAGTTTGGAGCTGTCGGCCAGTTTTCCTTGACCCGATTTGTGCTGCGTTGCGTTGGGGATGATACGACGTCGAAGGAGTCGCTGGCCGTGCTGCTGGACAAGTACGAAGAGGCACGACAAGAGCTGCTGCAGTACAACGCTGAACACCAAAACGACATCCCCGTAGCAAAGTGCGAAGCGAAGACAGCTGACTACTGTACATGCAGAAGACGTCGGCTGACCTTTTGTGTCTTTGTGATGACCAGGAACCAGATGAGCCTCTACGCGTCAGTGACGGGCATTCGATGGGACTTTAGTAGCTCGCAAATTGCTGGCGGTACGGAGATGCTGTTGAACTGTGCTGAGCTATTAGACACTGATGATAGTGATAACCGTATATGACGGTGGCGACATCAGATATCCACGTACCAGCTAAACAACGGATCGCTCGGTTCGAGATCGACCCAGCAACAGACCATTTCACTGCTGCCAATGCGCTGTGGGGCAGGATCGACGAAGCTTTTGATGACATCGACGATGACCTGTAGATGGCCACATTTGTTCCTCCTTAATGCTAAATGCAACGTGTTGCATCTTCTACGAACAAGGCCGGTGAACGTTCTCGCTACTGCTGGGCTAACACTACGTCTACTGTACGTTGCCGTGAAGTGATATCTATCAAACAGTGCAGCGGACACAACCAGCAATTGTTTTTTTTTTCTCTCACAGAAGCAAGATTTTAAACTATCTCAAATCTGGTTAGAGGTGGCTCGCGCAACACCAACTGCAGATCTTAGCACCCGCTACCACCAGCAATACGCAGACACGAGGTCGAGCTCCAGAGCGACAGCTGATTGGTCATGATAGCCCAAGCCACGGAGAAGAGGAAGATCACGACGGCTGCTGCCCCGATCAGCTTGCTATTGTACCCAGTCTGCTTCATCGCTTGAGCCTCGTGCTTCTGTCGAGGCAACAAGAACGCGAACGCCACCGCCGCAGTGTTAAACACGTATGCGATGAGGTAGGCGTATGTGAGGTCCATATGGACAGCATGGTCGTCTTTCTTGAGAGCTTTTTGGCCGACCTCGAAGTAGCTGTCGACCCCACTTTTTGATTGAGAAGACCCCAGCCACGATCAAGACTTGACTGATACAAGCCGCAATGCCATCGTTGAGTGGTGTGACGCCCGCGTAAATGGACTGGATGTTGCTGGATGCTGTGACCGACACTGCAGCGAAGATCTTGGTGAAGTAGCGGAAGATGAAGAGGCGATAAAACGGCTCCTTTTGGATCGTCTCGAAGATCTCCTTGTACTGTAGAAGGTGCCGATGGACTTGGCCTGCTCCACCTTCTCTTCGGTGACGCAGAACCAGCAGAAGGGGATGGTGATGACCGTCGCAGCGGTGCAGATCCACATGATGCCGTTAAACCCGATCGTCCAGGAAAAAGTGCCACCGTACTCAGTGCTGTTCAGGCACAAGCCGGTCAAGAAAGCAGTCACGATCGCCAGAGCGTTGCGCACCATGAAGACGTTCGTCTGGAGACGACCACGGATGTGTTCAGGCTCGCGTTGTGAGAGCTCAATGAAGATGCCGTATGTCGGACCATAGGCAATCACAGCGCCCAAATTGGCGAGCATGAAGAGGAAAATGAACTTGTTGCCGCGGTGTGGAGCGTCCGTGTGCACGAGCGCCAGTTGTTCTGGAGTCATATCGGCGAGGTCGATGTCTTGCAGCGAGGCGTCTTCGTAGTACGGATCTCCGAGGGGAATCACGGCCATGATGAAGCAAGCAAACATCGTTGTTTCTCTCCTACAACCGCCACCGGAAGTGTTCAATCTCTTTGACGATATCTTGATCATGAACGACGGACGTATCATGTACCATGGCCCACGTGAACAAGTGCAGGAATATGGCGATATCGAGAGTGGAGCTCTACGCGCTGGAGGCGTACCGTCTATCTGGTCGCTTCGCAACATTGGTGTCCTGGTCAGTTTCTGCTGCGTCACGATCGTCTACGGAATGAGTCTGAGCATCCTGTACGCTGTCATGAACAACTACCTGTACATGTCCGGCCTACTCGTGGCAACAGCCAGGGCGTTGGTGCGGATTCCTCGAGTTCTACGCGTTTTCCTATCAGCTTTCTCGGACATTTATCCGATCTTCGGGTACCGTCGTCGCCCTTACATGATCATCGGCTGGAGTATCGCGTTCATCGCGTTGGTGTCTTCCGGAGTCTTGAGGTCGAAGTAGTTGTCAGGCGACTTGACCTTGGATGCCGCTGTTGGAGTTGGGGTTTGGAAGGCCATGGTTTGAGATGTAGGGCGCAAAACCAAGAATGAAAATGCTTGTGTCGATTAAGCGCAATGGCCACCACCACGGAATGTGGTGGTCTTGTCATGAGTGGGAGTCTGGGACCACAACTCGAAAGGTGATACCTTCTTGCAGCATTAAGTGAGTCCGGCTGAGAGCCTCTTGTCAAGTGTACTTGTGCGTTGGAGCGCGTGCTCCAGACACTGCAGACAAACGAAACATGGTCGCGCAAGCATCTTGTTGGGTGGCCTTCTGGCTGATCGAACGTGGACTAATACACTTTAACAGTATTCCCAATCAATTGGACTGTAGTAGTGTGCATGCAATACGGGAAGAAATAATCTCGACAACAATGATATAACCTCACCAATTCTCGGTACTGACTCAGTACTACTGACTGTGATATGCAAAATTTGTCTTTGCAGAGCAAAACAATGTTGACCCGTCCTTCAAAAAATTATTCTTTCCGTGATGAAATCAACTTGGTTTCTGGATGCCGTCCGCAAGTGCCGTCACGGCACTCACCACGGCACGCGTTTGCGATCCGCCACCATCAGTGATCATCTCAGAATAGTTTTTGTACCGATACTGTAGCTTGAGCAAATCGACCCGCGATTGGTACCGGGTAACTTTCGTGTATTCTCACGCAAACGATGAATGATACGACTTATCGGTACGCGACTGAATAGGTAAGCTGCACGAGACTTAGTTTTAGCCGAGTCCACGAGGTACGCGAATTCGTGGGTTGCTCTCACGAAAAGCTACGGCGCCCGTATCTTCGGTGTTATTTTAATGACTTCTTTATCAAACATGCAGCCAGGCTCGTCACGAGTTAACGAAACGCGGGCAGATCACCTCATCGCTGATGAGCCTGACCTGATTGGGAGAGGTTTTTGCGTCCATCTCACGCTACGATGAAAACCACCAAGATATCGCAAGGATGATTCGCTGCAGCCGCTTTACCGAGTTTGCTCCAAACTTAAGCAGTCGATCATCCGCTTTATACTACGTAGTATTATCATCAATGGAGCGTGGCGGTCACTTTAACAATGCAGAGTCCGCAATGGTGCCAAAGTAGTTTTACAACTTGGACTGTCATTTTGCATATACCGGTACACCTGAAAAGAGTATTCCGTGTTTATCTACCCTTACTTGCCCAGTGTCTCCATAACACTCTTGACATGAGGTGGATACAGCTTGGAAACGACGACCTGGCGGCACAATACGTCGGCCTGCTCACGCGCGAGCTGGAGCGCTTTCTCCTGTTCAGGACTGCCGACTTTCAGTACTTTGTTCTTGTGAAATTCCTCCTTGACGCGGCGCGTGGCGTAGGCGCGGAAGTTGTAGTTCTGTTTAGGTCATGGGCAGCACAAGTCTGGTTTAGTTCAATCGAAGCCTCGAAATTACAAGCAGCAGATAAATATTGCAACCGAGAGAGAGGACGCAGGGTTGCAGGACACGGACCTCAAAATTGGCTGCATTGCGTAGCATCTCACGGTACAGACGCAGCACGGACGACGACGACACCATTGCTAGCTAGATGGAGGATTCGCGTCTGTGGCCAATAGCATCCCGTTTAACATTCCCTACAAATTCCAAGTTTGTAATAAATGTTGCACCAGTGAAGCACAACTTTCGTGCAACCGATGTGGGACGAAGCACGAGCTACAATCATTCTCGCAACACTTGGCCTTAGTAAGGCATTTCTGATTCCACCGCCGATGGCAGTGACTCGTCGAAGAAACCACTGAAGAATTGGCTCCGTAGCGCCTTGTGTCTTCATGCCGGAGGTGATCGAGAATCAGCGGTGGTACCCCATTGTGGTGTGTATACGTTTCCTCAATCCTTCTTCGCCTCTCCCAAACCCATTTTTCTTTTTCCAGAGAAATACACGGTGCTCATATCCTTATCCTGTTCGTATCATTTAGGGGTGGTCGGCGCGTTTGTACGCGGAGGACCCTCCCGCCTGGTCTACAACCAACCAAGAGGCTTGCTCCAGTACAGACGAGCAGAAGGAGTTCGTATGGACGGTTTACAAGGGCGAAGACTACGACGATGAAGGCTGGCTCTATGGGAAGAAGTTCAACGACACACTAGGCCCCATGACGCGCTCCAGTGCCGTTCGCACTCGAGTCTGGATGGGAAACAAACAAGACGAACAGAAAGAAGCCGAATCTGCGAGCTCTAAGACCGAGAACGCCACTTCTGGAGGGGAAGAAGCCTCTAAAACGGGCGAGTGGCAGACGCTCTTCCCGTCCGACAAGAAGGAGGAAGAGAACGCAGACGAAAGTAAAGAAGACGCAAAATCTGCTTCGACTGAAGTGAAGAAACGAGAGGACCACGTAAGCACAGCTTCATCAGCTAAGGAAGCTGATGAGAAAGACAACGTGTTGTTCCCGCCGCCTGACGGAGAAGACAGTAAGAGAAACACCTCGGCAAAACGCAGCGAGCCGGCTAGATCTTCTGGATTCTTCGGCCGATTCTCGTCTGCAGTCGTGTCTTTGCCGTCGTCGGCCATTAATTTAGCCGGGTCATCGTCGAAGCAGGCAGTGTATGGCACTGTACAGTCAATTAGAGAGGCGTCACTCTTTGGATTGGAGATGGCCCAAGCAGCCACTGCAGCTGCCATTTCCGCGGAGCCTCAAACTCTACCGACACGCAAAGGACACAAGAACGGTACGAAGAGTCTGGACGAGGACGACACGGAGGTGCTATCAATGCTGTCCAAGCGATTCCCAGACTTGTCTCCTGTCGAGAGATCACTGGTGACATGCTGTCAAGACAGCATCCCGAAGTATCTGTCTCCTCCGGAGCTCACCGAGTCAAAACAGTGCAAAGAATGCGACGTCGAGTTTGGAATGACCAAGTTCCGGTATCAATGCGGCTACTGCTCCGAGTCCTTCTGTCGAGACCATTTACCCGAGTCTGCGATCATTCGCGCGTACGGCCACACAACTCCATCCAAGCTGTGCAAGAACTGCCATTACATTTTGATGGAGAAGATCGACCAGCAGCTCGTACAGTGGCGCATTGAACGTGTGAAGGACTACCTGGACGACAAGCTCATCGTGTACTACAACACAGCCACCGACACAGCAGTCGACAAGATCATGCGTGCTGCTGGAGGAACACTCGTCGCTGCAAAGTCCGCTCCGATCGGTGCCGCAGCGAAAATGGCAGTCGTGAGCGCCGATTTCTTACGCAAATACGGCCGAGCTGGCTTGATTGGTTTTATTCTGCGTAACGAGTTCATGCAGTCCTTTTCAACGCTGAAAGGCTTGCTGGGCGACTTGGACGACCTTGGCTTCCAAGATGCAGCTATTGGTACCTACTATTTCATGGCGATGAACCGAGGAGACCGTGGAGCGGAGCCGGAAGGAGAGAAGACAAGCCACAACGGATGCGAACCAGTCTCGGACGAGTTCTTGACGAAGGTGCTGAAGTACGCGCCCTTAGCGCTGCATGGCATCTACGAGCTGGATGTTCTGGATATACAGCGCATCAGTCGATTGCAGGGATTCTCGCTGATCTATGCACACGTCCAGGACCAAGATGTCCGTCACCCGTCGTTCGCTCTACTGGGCAGTAAGGAGACCAAGACAGCTCTCGTGCTGATCCGCGGCTCCAAGTCTGTTCAAGACGCACTGACCGATATCCAGGCGTGTCCAGAGGAAATCGGCCTGTCTTCGCCAGGTGCACCGCAGAGCGAGGCGACCGGAGGCTTTGTAGACGCCTTCGCGCATAACGGCATGTTGAAAGCTGTCATGTGGATCAAGGACCGCATCGTCAAGTCTCTTCGTGTACTGCATAATGAAGGATATCACATAGTGTTCGCTGGTCACTCTCTCGGAGCTGGTTGTGCGGCGTTGCTGTCGGTGATGCTGCAGAAGGAGTTCGTAGATCTCGAATGCTTTGCGTACGCTGTCCCTGCGTGTGTAAACTTGGGTGTGGCTGAGTCGTGCGACACCTTCGTCCACTCCATCGTGCTTCGAGATGATATTGTGCCTCGCGCCAAAGCGTCGAATGTGATGAAATTGGTCGAAGAACTCAAGAACTTTAAAGGATGTTGGCGTGGCACTGCGTCGGAGGACTTGGAAGCGTTCAAAGACCGCGCAAAGACGCTGTGGGCGCCCAGAAAGCGCGAGTGGGCGACGGAAGCTGCTGATCAGAGAAAAGGGAAGCTTGCGAATCGAGACAAGGCCATCTCTCCGACAGATAAACCCACTTTGGCAGAGAAGAAAGCTAAGGACGACGATAAAGACGAAGGCGTCTCGTCCTGGACTCTTACGCGGACAAATTTGATTGATCAACTCGATAAGGCTGGCGACAAAAGCTCTGAAGACGAACAACTCGAGCCTTCAGACAAGGCGCGTCAAGAAGAAAAAAAAGTGGCTGCAGAGTTGGTGACGACTTTGGTGGATGACCCCAAGGAGCTGTATATCCCTGGCAAGGTGACGCACATTTTCTTCTATAAGGGCATCTACGAAGCTGTCCACGTGGACCGCAAGTGTGAAGAACTCTCTCATATCCCAGTGCAGCAGAACATGCTGAGTGACCACTTGGGGTGCAACTATTTAAGTGCTCTGCGTATTGTGCGTGACGCACGTCGTGCCAAGCCTGCGCTGCCGGAGTGGGTCCCTTTTAGCACCAAGACTCGCTGTATGTGCTGCGACTCGCCGTTCACGTGGAACTCGACGTCTTCTAGTGAGGCGCAGCAGAACCGAGACCAGCACAACTGTCGACGCTGCGGCGCTCTCGTGTGTGAAGGCTGCTCGCAGAAGTTCAAGTCAATTCCAGAATTTGGGATCAATGTGCCAGTTCGCGTCTGCGATCGCTGCTACTATGAGGCTTAATTTTTTTTAAAAATGAGCATTAGACGGCAACTAAGAGCATAAAGAAGAAAGGGCATCTTATAAAGACGAAGAGTTACTTACGGCCTACGAAGCTTACTTGGCCGAGAACAGTTCGCGCAGAAGAGCACGGTCCTTTGCGGTCTCGGCTGCCCAGAACTTCTGGTCCATTTCTCGCTCTTGACGACTTCGTTCGTGCTCTTAAGAGCGCTCATCCGCGCGCTTTTCAAGGAATCCTGCCAGCACATCGCTTTGACGTTCCAAAACGTCCTTCATTCCAACTTTCGATGACGCAAGTTTGCTGGAAACGCGTCGACGCTTTTCCTTTGAATGCTTCTCTTCCTTTTGGCTTAACATAACCCCCGTTTCATCTTCCAGAGCACTCTTACTCACTGGAACGCGCTTCCCACCACTCGATCTATGCTTGGTTACTTTCTTAGGGGCTGGTTTCTTCTTCGCTCTCATGCCCTTCTCAAACTTGTCACCTTCACTGGAATAATCGTAGCCCTCGCTGTCACTTTCGCCGCTCTGCTCCGCCATAGCCGATTCGTTCTTCAGAATTTTATTCAGCGTGCTGAATACACGCTCTTCGATAGGCTGCACTCGCTTACCCCCAGCGGTTTTCATCAACTCGCGCTGGTTGCTTGTGGGCAACGCAAACCAGTCCAACCCCCCACTTGTTTCCTTATTGCCTACGAACGATCGGATGAACTCGAAAGAGCTCTGGAGAACATCCTTCCTATTCATAATTGTTGAAATACTGCGGGGACTGGAGCCACCTGCGAGTGCTACGAAGCGTTCGTGAATCAAGCGGTTGAACTCCATGTTGCCCATTTTCTTCTTCTTCCCACCAGCATTCCTTCTCTCATTTACAACCCCCTCCCAGGCCTGGACCAGCCACCACAGCTCCTCCAGCGTCCAGACTGCCCTCGCCATGCTGAGGGTTGCTTGTTGTCTGCCAAGTCGTCAACTGTCGGATACTTGTTACTCATATGACCAACGATGTTGAAGTTGTCCACTTTTGTCAATCGACGATTCATATACATGGACCTGTCAATATTCATCTCCTCATATTTGGGAAGTACTCGGAAAACAAATAGCCTTGGAAATATTGTGTAGGTACAAAAGAAACGCAGCTTAAGAAAACTTTCCAAGAACAAAGGAGACCGGCCCATGACGAGCGTGTACATCGCTGTGTACTGTTTGGTCGTGCTGGCGATGCTGCTGGTGGTCGGCTACGCCTACTGGGCCTGGCGAGGATATCGACAAGCGATGCGTGACGCGCTGATGCGGCGACACGAGCGCGATGTGGAGCGGGGCGAGCACGTAGATCAAAACAACTACTGGCGTCGAACGGACCCTCGCAGCCCGCCGTCAGCAATCGCAGCAGTACCAGTGGCGCTCCAAGCATCATATATTAAAACCACAGAGGTGACCTACACGAACGGGGCGAAGACCAATCTGTAACCACGAACTCCAGTTGTTGTCTGTACGAGAAGATTCGCAAACTTGTTTATTTATTGTTTGTTTGAGTTACGGGGTGTTCGGTGTATCCGCATCGATACTCTCCCTACTGTACCACTTCGCATCTCACCTCCGTTGCATTACACTCGCTTACCGCAACACAAGTTTAGGCTCTATGGTCATGAACAAGATGGGTTTTCATTTGTTGTTTACAACCACTCACCATCACAACTCGTTTACGTCCTGGGTCCCGTCAACGTCATCGATTATTATAGTTCTCTTCGTAACCATCCAGGAGATTTTAATCAACCCGATCACTTCCACTTTCGCCAACACCGACCCATTCCACAAGAATGGTTGGAGTTTGGAGACTCGACGAACTCGCTACCGTGCGTGTACCCAGCCCCACGAACGGTAAAATCGACCAAGCTTCTCGTGAGCCGACCACCCTCATCAACACCGTCAAGTCCACCGTCGCGAGATGTCCGAACGATAAAGCTCTCAGCATCAAGAAGGACGGCGAGTGGGTCTCCCACACCTGGCAACAGTACTACGACACCAGTCACCAATTCGCACGAGCCCTTATTCAAGTAGGCGTCCAGCCTCATGAGGCCGTCAATGTGCTGGGCGAGAACTGTCCCGAATGGCTTTTGACCTACATGGGTACAGTTCTGGCCGGCGCCGTGATTGCCGGCATCTACGGCACTAGCAACGCCGAGGCATGTCAGCACATCTCATCGCACTGCGAAGCCAAGGTAGTGGTGGTGTCGGCCAAGGTGCAACTGGACAAGTACTTGTCGGTCTTGGACTAACTCCCAGAGCTGAAGGCTCTAGTGGTGTGGAGCGACAATGACGCACCCAACGACACCAAGTACCGTGTTCCAGTCTACTCGTTCCCCCAGTTTCTCAAACTTGGCGAATCGGCTGACGTGAGCCTGGTCGAGAAGAGAATGGAGGCCCAACTGCCTGGCCACTGTTGCTCACTCATCTACACGTCTGGAACGACGGGTCCACCGAAAGCGGCTATGATTTCTCACGACAACTTGACTTGGATCACCGAGGCAGCTTTGTATGCCCACCCAGAAGCACGTGCTGCGAAGCGAAGTGTGAGTTTCTTGCCGCTCTCGCACAGTGCCGCTCAACTGCTGGATATCCACGTACCTTTGGTCATCGGTTCTGAAGTGTATTTTGCCGGTCCAGATGCGCTTCGTGGAGGGTTGTTGGCGACACTGCAAGAGGTGCGACCACACTACTTCTGTGGCGTCCCTCGCGTATGGGAGAAAATGATGGACGCACTCAAGGAGAAACTTGGTTCAGCCCCTGAAGGACTCAAAAAGTCGGTGCTGACGTGGGCTATGGAACGAAGTTGGGCCTACTTGGAGCAAACTCAGTATGGATCAACTCCGAGTGGCTTTGGTATCCGGTTCTCCGTTGCCGATTATTTGATCCTCAGCAAGATTCGACACGCTTTGGGACTGGATGAGTGCACCACTTTCCTCACTGGTGCCGCTCCTACCTCTCCAGAAGTCATGCGCTTCTTCGCTTCTCTGAACATGCCGTTGTACGAGCTCTACGGACAGACTGAGTCCACAGGACCACTCACCTTCAGTATGCCGAGTAAGTGGAAGCTGGGAACTGTTGGCCCACCACTGGAGGGAACTCAAGCTCGAATTGATCCGGACACAGGTGAGATCCAGTACACTGGGCGCCACGTCTTCATGGGATACCTTAACGATGAAGAGGCTACCAAGAAGACCGTCGATGAGAATGGATGGCTTTACTCGGGAGACATTGGCGAGCTCGACGAGGACGGGTTCCTCTCCATTACTGGACGCCTCAAAGAGCTCATGAAAACATTCCTCCTGTGCTCATTGAAAACGAGGTCAAAGCAGATTTACCAGCGTTATCCAATGTCATGGTCATTGGAGAGAAGCGCAACTACTTGACTTTCTTATGCTCTTTACGAGTAGAACCGGACGCTACTACTGCAGCACCTACCGATAGACTGGACAATGGCTGTAGCCAAAGAGATCGGAAGTGACGCCACCACCGTCTCTGACGCCCAGTCATGTGAGAAATTCAGCCAGTACATCAGCAACGGCATGAAGCGTGCCAACATGAGGGCTGCATCGCGGGCTCAGCACGTACAGAAGTTCATCATCATCCCGCGTGACTTTAGCATTGGTGGTAATGAGTTGACTCCTACGATGAAAGTCAAGCGCTCTGTGGTGGAGAAGATGTATAAGGAAGAGATTGAGAAGATGTATACATCGTAAGGAATGGTGCTGTCCTAGTGTGACTCAGGAGTACTTGAGCAGGTTTTAGACCAATGCACATGGAGAAAAGTTTCGTTTTTCTGGCAAATTATTTATAACAAATGAAAGCTATGGCAGGTATTCCAGTGTAAATCTGACTAGTGGCGTCAAGAAGGAGAACACCTTAAGCGGCGGAAGCTCACTCGTACAGAAAATCAGGCTGCGACGTTTCTAGACGATTTCAGCTCTAATACAACACATATTGCCTGTTGAAGTGAGTCTAACGTTGTTAATTAAAATTGGAAAATCAGCGTTGTGAACAAACTAACCCCTTGAACCCACTTTCTAATCTTTATGTTGGTGTGGAGTATCTGTCGGGAAAGCATGGAATCGTCACCTACCCCTATCTGAGTTGGAGCTTGTAAAGACCTTTACAAAAAACAAATGTAATATTTCTTAGCTTGTATGGTCCACGTTTAGAAACTGGCCTTATCTTGTAAGGTCCACGTGCAGCAAATTACATATGATTGTTCATGGGTGGACGTCTCCCACCGCACAGTTTTGCGGCTCACTTCTGGATTTCCCCTCTCAAGCAAAGAGCCCCACATCATTCCGGGCTCGATGGCGTGAAATGAAAAAGGATGGTTGGACCTAAAAAAAGCCATCAGGCCTTTCCGTCGACTTTATCTACCTAAAGACGATCAAGGATGTCGAAGGAGAGGACGTGTGTATTGGCGAGGAGGCCCTGATGAAGTACCTGGACAAGATCGACCTAAGCTGCTCTAAATATTTTTTTGGATGTCTTTGATCTGTACTGACTGTGCTAAGTGAGCAGCGGCTCTTCGAGCAAAGAAGCAGGCAGGACGTGATGGATCTGCGAATGCTGTCGGACGTCGAAGCGCTGCGAAAGCTGCCAAACTGTGACAGCGAAGCGTACGTGTACTGTGGGCTGTATGATACACGTTTACATTTTGCTAATCGTGTATGTTGAAAGTTAAATTCGAATACTTCTTCATCTGATGGCAGTCCCCCATTACATTCACCCGCACCGGCTCAACGGCAACTACTCGAGACCACCCCAGTTCGTCTATGTGCCGAAAGTCCGCTACACAAGACCCCACCATCGCCTTCCGGTACATCACTGAATCTTGCTTCACGTCCACCAAAGAGCCCACTACAAGCTGATTCACCCAAGGCCACAGCTCTTTCTCCCAGCGGCAATAGTGAACATCCCATCGGAAGCCCAGGAGGTAATATCTGGTATGATACACGTTTGAACTGAACTAATTTTGTATGTGGCGTCTTATTGTATTGAAGACTCTCCGATTAGTCAAAGAAACTTGGATCCAGACTTTGAAGAAGCCGAATTGAGCAGCAATGCGTCGTATCATTTCGAAGCCGACAACCAACCTGGTGACCAAGTTGAGGAAGACAAAGAATTTAATCCGTCTACAAGCAGTGTGGGTCAACCGGGGAAAGCTGGGGTGGAAGAAGAACCGAAGGAAGACACGCGGCATAATGGTCTGTCTGGTAACTTGTATGTACATGATGTACAGGAACATGGGCTCCTGCGCAACATCCGGCCCTAGGCAGTGCCAGCGATGCGGATTCCAGTAGCGAGTCTATTGTAAGCAACTCCCGCCAGCAGAAGCGCGCCCGTCGCTCAACCAACGCAGCGGCGACGGATTGAAAATCAATTGCGTCTGTCGTTTGCTTTTGATTTTTGTATTACTAATAGAACAGAATTCTGGTCCGCTGAACATGTTTTGTGATGGCGCTGTTATGCACTTTCCGGACACGTCTCCGCTCTGCAATTGAACGACTCTGTCACAATTATGTACTCACTTTGCTTCTCATCATACATTTTATTAGTGCAAACATGTATACTTTCAGGCGTCAGTTCGGACCATACACCATAGTGAAAGATGTCTTTCACGATGTTTAGGTTTAGCATGGGTCTATCACATATACACGTTACCAGACTATGTATTGTTTTGCTTACTAACCCTTACCCGCAGATACACGCTAGAGCGCCTAGCGTTTAGGCAGCAAGGGGGTACGGTACTACCTCGGGCTCAAGCGGTTAATGCACTTTTCAGCTTCAATGCAGCGGATTCCGTTGCTACAGGGAAATACATCCGTTCAGGGTAGCAGGCAAAGTACTGACGTGCCCTTCGCTCGGAGAGGGGCGTTTTTCAAGGCTAATAGCAGCCTATCGTGGCATGCAGAGGGTGGCTTACTTGGTTTTCACTCGGAAATTTGTGGACTGATATTTTATGTTAGTTTTTATTACGAAGTGGAGTTTCAACTTGGTAACAGAGCTAGAATGTAACGGGGTACAGCCCGGTGTACCCCCAGGTTACTTAAAGTGTGACCCGTTACTCTTGTGGATACCCGGTACACGGTACCAGGTGCTCTAGGAGCCAGTCAGGGCATTAGTATATAGCTCCACTATATTTGACCTTTAGTTTGTAAAGGACCCAAGCTAAGCTTACTTACAAATACATGTCTTACATCTACTCTTCCAAGTGCAAACCGTTCCCACTGAGGCCGGGAACATGTGGACTAACGTTCACTCGGGTAGTAAATATAGCTAAGCACCTCCTCTGTGCAAGGTGCTGTGTGACCCCGTCACACTTGGTTGCACTTGTAGTCAATCCTACGCCTTCGTGGGTAGATTAAACTACCTGAACCCTCTGTGCGCTCTACGTTTGAGCTACGAAGGACCGAAGTGAGCTTTCTCGGTTGAACGACTCACAGTACGAGTCTGTTCGGAAGATGAGAGGCATCTTTGGACAAGATGTCTTTCGCAGCTTGGCGGTGGCGACGCCTGCCGAGCAACACGAGCGCGTGGCTACGTTTGATACCTACGAGCGTGGTCTCATCGCTCACGTCCGCGGGAGTTTGGAGGCCGCGATGGCCGCTCCCCAGGCAACCAGGCCTAAGCCGAGACCCCCGCGTTTGGGTGGAAGGAAGAAGAGAACCTTCACTTCTGGGTCCGTGAGGTGGAGATCGTCATGAAGGCGGGTCTCATCTCGGACGAGCCACTTCGGGTGGCTTTTGCTTTGCCTAACCTTGGTGAACGTGCCAAGCACTGGGCATACACCAAGGAGACGACATCGCCCGGATGCTTTGCATCCTGGGCTCAGCTGTGTGAGCAGCTTTAAGCCGCGGTTTTACCGGCGAACAACGAGCTACGCCAGCACTCACGCTTTCTTGCGTGTAAGCAAGGCAAACGTGAGCTACATGAGTAGGTGCAAGAGATGCACACGTTGGTTGGATATCTGACAGGGAACCTTCTGCCTGAAGACATCAAGACATCAGTCTTCATGGACGGCCTGGTGGTCGGTCCTGCTCGCACCCAGCCATTTCGGGTGCAAGCAACAGCTATAGAGGAGGGGATACGAGTCGCCCTCCAAGAAAAGTACAGCCACAACCAGGCTGGTACTCCATGGGAAGAGGAACGTCGCCACGATGAGGATGGCGTTCCTCGGGAGGCGGAGCATTGCAGCAATGACGCTGCTGCTTCTGCTATCACACAGCCCATTGGTACCGGTGCGTACAGCAAGCCTGAGCCCATGAACTTAATCTCGACCGAGAGCTAAATCAGCTGTTACGGATGCGGCGGACATGGACACTTCCAGCGTGTATGCCCCGCGCCAGTCCTCGGGAAGCAGACAGCTCGTTGGCCCTAGGTCCGGTGGTACAGGCCACGGCCAGGTCGACGAAGGCTCCCCGGCCACCAGAAGCGGCAGTATGCCCTACTGAAAAGCGCTAAGGCTTCGTGATGGGGGTGCAGATTGTGCAAACCACAGGACTTAGCCCAGAGAGACGTGATTCTCTTAAATCGGTGAAGTGCAGTGATGGGCTGCTGGTTATACACGCGGTGAGCTGATAAATGGTACCCCTTGAGCGTATGATGATTTCTAGGGCGCCACCAGGACGTCGCTTGGCATAGCGACACCCGACTGCACTCTATGTCAGAGTGACTGTCGTGAGCTGGTCCTTGATGGACTAGCCTTTGGTACAGTGAAGGAAGTACCAATGTCCTTAACGGACCTGAACGTTTTAGCTCGATAAACTCGCGCACCGCGGTGTCGCGTGTAGTTCTCGCCACGAACAACATGGCTGTGCAGAACATAAGGCACAGACCGGACTTTGGTGTAGCAAGGCTGGGACGGGCCTGTCAGTCCAGGTCTATGGCGGAGTATTGGCGAGCCATGTTCCCATCTCTGTCATGCCTTGGGTACCTAATACAGACCGCGCCTGGATCACGGAGCTGTCGACGCGCCGACAGATCTATGTAAAACAAGGTCATGCTCCGCAGCGGCAATGCCACGGGCATGGATCTTATGCCCGGCGCGTGAGCCTGTTACACCAGCAGCGTCCAACGCCGAAGGTTATCGCGCCATATGGGGTTCGATAGTGATTAGTGCTAACCAGATGGGTAACTTAGGTCTACACGGTCACCCAGATTTTAACTGAAGAGGAAGACGCTGGATGCGCTTCCTTTTTTGGTAGCACAGTACCACACGCAGTCGCTCAAACTATAACTGAAGAAGAAGGCATTGACAATGCTTCCTGTGTGGGTAACACAGTACCACAGGAGATATTGAGTGCATCTGATGTCGTCAACGAGACATTACGACGTGGATAGCGAGGTGCCTCGTCACGTTAGCCACCGCAAGTTGGGTTTGAGCCTTGTTCAGGCCGACGTCGCTTCAAGCGACTCGGAGTCCAGTCCCTGGACTCCGAGTGATTCGATCGGTGGACACCAACGTTGTCCGGTGTGTGTGAGCCTGCCACACTAGCCGATCCCAACACCGAAGGTCACTCAGACCATAACTAATAAGGAAGTCACTGTATGCGCTTCCAATGTGGGTAACATAGCTCCACATATCAAGGCGGGTAGCACAGTTCCGCAACCAAGGTGGGTAACACAGTTCGACAACCAAGGCGGGCAACACAGTTCCGCAGCCAAGGTGGGTAACAGTGTTCCACAGTTAAAGCGGGTAACATAG